ACATGCTCCAACAATCATAATAAAGTATTACTAAAAAAAAAATATTAGCACTAACCGCATCACATATATATATAAGTATTTAATGCATCATTACATTTGTAATTTAATTGTTTCTCATTTAAAGTATTTTAAACCACCAGAAAAAATTCAGAAAATTGACACATAGATGATGAGGTGGCTTCACCATATTCCACCAAATCCAACTTTTATATATATAGATTTGAGGGTTATGGGACACCAAATGAATGTATGTTGTTCAAAGACAGTGTAGCTTATCTTCTGTCTTTTGTCTGTCCAGTTAAGATGGGCTTTCGGTGAATCTTAATGATGGCCCGAAAGTGTTCGAACCAAAGGTTATTTGAGATTCAACAATTAACCCAAATTAACTCTCTGACTTGTTGGATTCTTTAATTTCATCTCTCCAAACTTTAAAAATATTTTAAAAAATTAAGAGTATCATTGGAAACTAGTTCATTATATTCATGTTCAATTTAGCTTGTAATTTATAAAATTCCGAAAGGGTACAATGATGGCTGAAGAAGAGATTTAGAAGAAAGGATTCTATCCCTAACTCGTGACATGTCGAGATATATGGATAGAAACCAAACTATGTCACGTCCATTCAAAATTTCAAAATAAATAATTTTTTTATTAAAAAAACAACAACACTTCCAAATATGCAGATACAAGGAGATTCGAGGAAGAAAAGAAACCAAAGGTAGAAAAGCGACAAAAGGGAAAACACCCAAAGGCTCCAAGGTTATACCGTATTTCTCATTCTCTGACCATGTTTTGAGATTTTTGTTCTTTTCCCTCTTGTTTTTCTCGAACAACATTAAATATCAACAAATACTCTATAGGAACGAACGTACCACTCATATGAAACATCAACTTATATATACATATATGTATATATTCTTTTGAACATTTATGATTCGACGATCGATATAATGTTATTGAGCCACATTATGTGGAATCGATAAATTTTGTTTCTGTTTTGATATCAACTACATGGAATTTGTTCATCATTTTCCTAATCACTGGCTGAGGTCTCTTTATTAGCAACACAAGTTGTAATTTGGTTACGTGAAATACAATTTTTTTTTTTTTGTAACGAGTGTACGTGTTGTATATATCCTCTCTTACGTATAACACACATCCTTTATACGGACAAAAAAATACAAAAAAAAAAAAGAGAGAGAGGAAAAAGAAAGATCGTGTATGCCGAGGAGTCTGACCGTTGACTGATCAACTAGTAGAGCAATAGTAGCAGTAAAGTACGAAGCACGATGTCTCTGTATCGCACGAGCCAAAACAGTGCGCTCCATACGTGCCAGCGTTCTCCGTGACCAGTTGGCATCGCACGTGTATGCATGCATGCATGCATGCGAATCCCATTATACGAATTTATAAGTTTTTTTTTTTTAAATGCATGTGGTGCGGTGCGATAAGTTGGACCGTCCTCTCTTTTGCTTTTCCACGTTCATACAACGCTTCGTCAAAAAGAATAATCTTAATGCGTTTCTATCTTTTTTTGCAAATGTCACAAAATATACACAAATCACGTATTTTGGAGTTGAAATCGAATGCAAATAGTTTATACGTAATAAATATTTAGATATTCTATATATTATAAAAACAATTATTTGTGTAATTTGGGTCCACGACAACACATAGGATCCACAAGGAGAGATCACTGCTGGGTGAGTTGAATAACGTGTTCCCTTTATGATTACAGGTACCGAATTCTCCCTTTTAATATTTGCGTGTCTTTTAAGTTTCTTCTTCATCAAAATCTGACATTTCCCTAATCAGCTCTTTTTCACTTTTATAATTTTTTTTCCAAATGAATAATTGGTAGTTATAGTAAACTTCCACGTCATATGTTATTTGTTTTCAATGCCACTGAAAATTTGTTTTTTTTTTTAATTTTCAAATTGTCTTGAGTTATTTTTATTTATGTCACTATATATATAGTATCTCTAACCAGTTTATTGAAACTTGTAATTAAAACCGATTCTAAGTAATAGTAGCCGTCTTATTCCAAAAAATAAATAAATAAATATGGGATCCTATAAGATAAGCGTACAAATAAAAAACATTTAAATATCTCTATGTGTTTTTAAACTTTGGTCACAAAGGAAAAGAAATATGTTCGAAGTATTGTGGACGGGACTACTTCTTGCATTTCTATAAAATAGTATCAAATAGAATTTAATAAAAACAAAACTTGTAACATCAAAGGCGTGATCAAACAAATATTGTAATTTAATTGATTAGTCAGTATTATAATTGGACTAATCATAGTCAAAATCATGTTTTCGCTCCCTCCATAGATTGAATTTTTGTATGTGAGTTTGAATGATTGAATCCTACCGTTGAGTTTAAATTTGGAATAAAGAGTTCTGCTTCGATTTCTAATAATTGTTAAAAACAAATAATCATAAGAGAAAAACAATTGGAATTAAATGGTAAAAAAAGAGAGATAAAGCCAACACCACAAAAAACGTTCAAACACACACACACACACACATATATATATATATACGACATTTTAACGTTGACGGTTTTAAAATTCGAATATCTAATTCTCTGTGGTCTTTATGGCGGGAAATTTGAAAGTAGTAATTTCGAGAGAATTTAGTGGGATTCCTTTTCGATTTTCATGACATATAAATATTATTCGTTTTTTTTTTCAGTGGAGGCGAGAAAACATGATTTACAAAATTAGTATTGGAGATATTATATTATTTCATATGATATAATATATATATATATATATAATAAAGCCAGCGAGAGGAACTCTGGCGAACACAACCCATCTACAGTGAACCAGTTTCTTGTCGTAACCCCACCCACATCACGCGCTCCATAGGCGCGTATAGTACACCGCTTCGCATAATTGCTAATAAAATCGCTGGCAAAGCTGCCAAATCGCGTCATAAATTGCGGGCAAACAATACTTTGTTTTTTTCCCCGTCACCGCACCAAATATGTTTTCTTAAATTCATTTAAATTTTCAGTGGCGGACAAATTTCTCAAATTTATATATATATATATATATATATATATATTATAAAACTTGTATGTAAAAAGTACGAATGGGTAATTTTTTTTGGTAAAAATTTATAATGCGAAATAGACATATCAGAGTAGAATCTGGAGCATTTGGGTCTCCGAGCTTATACTTTATTGTGTATTAAATTTAATGAGATTTATACTTTTAGAATTTCATTCTTGTCCTTATAAAAAGTAAATTGTCTATTTTATTTTATTTTATATTTTTCGATGCATCAAGAGAAGATCTTACGAAGGAAGTAGAGGAAGATCTGCTCCTACTCTTTTGACTTGCCGGTGATACTGCTGTCCACATGAGCTGGGCCCCATCATAGTTCCGTTTTTTCCCGCAAAATATCCGTCTTTCTTGGCGGGAAATCTTTATTATACAATCCGGTTAATAAAACGGTTTCGAGTCCGGCGTCTAACTACCGTTAACGGAGGCTCATCAACAATTGGGAACCCGAACTTAAAACGTCGTCACAATTAACGGAGAAAGATACACGGTCGTTAAATCTGGGAGAGTGCCACGTCAGCCGGATTCATAGATTCCTAAAATGAGAGATAAAGGGCGTTCAGGAAGGATTTATGTGAAAGCAATTACGTAAATAAAAGAAAACCCTAATTTGTTTTGGTTTTACAGTCAATATTAAAATTTCCCGTTCATGAATCATCTGTTTTTGTTAAAACTTATGCATATACAATCATATAAATTAATTAATAATTAATGAAATCAAACCTAACATGTATGTATTTTTTGGTGCAACGTAATAACGGGAGAGGGGTTGGGGGAAAATGGGGGAGAGAGGAAGGGATTTGGATGAGGAGAAGGGAGGAAGGTGGAATGATGATATATGTCGGATGCTTTTTTATTTAATTATACAACGCATACAAATTAAATGATTATTTTTTATATTCTTTTTTTTTTGTAACTTGGAAAAAGATAAAATTTTATGTTGGTTAAGAAAGAAGGATTGAAGTGTGATTTTTCGGCTGTTATGCACTGTAAGATTAGATAATTGGGAATTAAGTGGGTTCCACCTGTATTTATTTTACCGTACAAAAATATTTTAAAACCCGACAATATTTTTCAATTTATATATTAAAATCCTACATCTCCCCGCCTAATACTTAATGACAACCTCCTCTTCCACCATAAGGTTATGGGTTCGAATCCCAGATATGGTATTCTCTTGAACCGATCAGTTTTACGAGGTTGGTTTACCTGCTCTGCGTGGTTTGTCGGCTACTGCACAGGGCGATGGATTTTCACAGATCCGCGATGCTATCCTGATGTCGTTCTCGTCCGGGTCAATGAGTTAAGAGGTATTGCAGTATCCGGTGTCTGACACGAAGGGTCGTAGGATATGGATTTTCCATCGTAACAAAAAAAAAGTTTTAAATTTATGTTGACAAAATTTTGTGAAAATATTTTTAAAAAGTTAAATATTTTTTTGGTGTTTTTAAATAAATATAGCATAAATAACTAAACAGTGATTTTTCAGAGGATAACAAATTAAGAAGAACAAAATATTTAGACGAGTTATTGGGTATAGGAAGAGGGCATGTTGGGCTCTTGACAGCTTTTCTTGGATATCCGCAAAAGTTCAAGAATTTTACGATTTTGCCACCCCACTTTACACGAATATCTCTGTCTTTTAAATCTTCCTTTTTTTATTTATTTTTGTTTCTCCAAAAATTTATATTACTTCGTTACTGGATAACCGATTAATTTTTCAATTTCAGTTATTTCATAATTCGACAAAATTTAATACTATTATTTTCACTTTCTTCTAATAATTTTAAATTTTAAAAGATATATGTATGTTTATGGTGTCGTCCTATCTGGCATGAATTGCGGATTAATAAAATAAATAAAAATGAGACTGGCGAATATTATAATGCTTTTGAGCTGTCTCGTAGAAATCCTGAAACCTTAATAAATGCACCCTGTCTTCAACATTCTCTGTCCCCTTCCATAACACTTCGAATTCTCACTTCTCCCTATGGCTGTGCCTTCTGCCGGCGATATGCTTCCGGCGAGCCTCTCCGTCGCAAATCTTCCCATGGAGAAAGCTCTGGGTTTGAAAGACAAGTTAACACCGAGTCAACTCGGTTTCCCCAGAGAGTTCCCCTTCGAGTTCGACTCACCGACCTTCACCTCCCCCGACGACTCCACTGAGACCGAGGACGACGGCAGCGACGATGAAGAAGACTTCTTTGCCGGTTTGACTCGCCGACTCGCTCTCTCGACTCAGCGCCATCCTCCGCCCTTGTTCGCCAATGACCAAACTGAGGCAAAAACACTTCTCTACACTCTCTCTCTCTCGCATTCTCTCTCTTTATCGGCAGGAAACTGACATTTATTTATGCCTTTTTTCTTCAGGAGAAGCGCCAAATCGTGTCGACCTCGCCGCAGTCAACACTGAGTGGACTCGGAAGCTGGTCCGCATCGGGAAGTGGTAGCCCAAATGGGCCGTCATCTCAGGTTCCGTCGCCGCCGACGACCCCGTTTCGCAAAGACGACGCTTGGGATATAATTTCTGCGGCGGCAGGGCAAGTGGCTAAGCTGAAAATGGGCGGAGGTCGCGACGGCGACGGAGAACGGTTGCTCTTCCGCCCAAACCCTAACCCTAGTCCCAATATTGGCCATCATTCTCCGGCACCAGAACCCATCCTCCCACAGCAGGGCAAACACCAAAGCGGCGCGTTTTGCTCAGACCCAAGGTTTCAGCAGTTCAACGGTCACTCCAAGCCGCAGTTTTATGCAGACTGGTTGTTGCCTCCGGAAAGCTCGTACTATCTGTCTCAGCTGAAATGCAAGTCACCGGAGAAAATAATTCCGGGGAGAGTTTCCGGTATCAGTGGCTATGAAAACGGACGTTGCTTTAGATCTTCCACGTGGTTACGGTCTCATCCTCCGCCGCCGCCGTCTCAGCAGCAGTCATCCTCTGCCGTGAGAGGCGTTTTCCCGGTCGGATCCGCCGCGAAACGTCCTTGTGCGGGGACCGGTGTGTTTCTTCCTCGCAGATACACAAACCCTTCTGATTCTCGCAAGAAAACAGGTATAAATTTCGGTTTTTTGTGTTTTTCCACATGGGTTTCTTTAAAGTCGGTTCAATTTGTGTTCTTTCGTTTGTTTCGGAGTCGAAGTTTGAGGATTTTTGCATGTTTTCTGACAGGTGGTGGTTCAAGTGTTGTTTTCTCGTCAAAGGGTGTCCAACCGCAGAACCTGAACTTTGACGAATTCAATGACCGGACCCAACCCCATTCAAGACCTTGTCTCTCGTCCGGACACAACCAGTTCGATTACGGTAACTTCCCGCACATTTAAATCTCTTCCAATGAAGCCATTGTTGCCCGTAACAACTCTGGTGTGTTTTGATGTTTTTGCAGAATCTTTAATGGCGAGAAGAAGAGATTTGTTGGCCCGACAACGACAAGGAGGTGGTCTGAGGGCAGTTCCCGGTGGTTGTCTGAACCAAGAAAGACCTCTTCCACAGGAGTGGACGTACTGACGAGCTGTCGAAGTGGTTCTTCTGGATCTGTTTCATCGGATTTGCAAGTTTGAAGCCAGTTTGATTTAAGAGCGGCGGAGTCACTAGTGTTAGGAATTAGGATGATATTGATATTGTTTACTGCTAATAACCTCAATCGTTATATTTAATTAGGTGGTAATAATTTGGTTTACATGTTCTTATAATGCTCTATATATATATATATAGTAATAAGTAATAGCGGGCTCTGTGTAATTCTTTTTTTTGGCTTGTTGAGGGTTTGATCTGCTCTTCTAGGGTTAGTTTGGGTATTTCGGAATTTAATATTTTAGTCCAACTATATTTTTGTGGTATTTATGGGTTTGTAATAAGAAAAATAGTTGGGTTTTTGGAGTTTTTCTTGTTCCCCCTCTAGACATCAAATCTAAGAAAAACAGTCAAGGAACTGCTTCATCGGCTTGTTTTTTTTTATTGATTCGAAGGAATGTGTTTTTTAAAATGTATTTATATATATAAAAAAAAATGAAAAAGGAGAATAAAAGAACAAATTGTAGAAAGAGAAAGGGATTTGAGAAGAGTTGCTTAGACGTGAAGCTGTTGAAGAATTGGAAGGCCCTTTGGTTATTTTGTTATAACAAAGCTTTGCAATCACATGCAGGGTGTGCGGTGGTAGACAAACCTTTATTTTTTTGGCACCGACTTTGCTTATATCAAAAATTATATATTCATAAATACATACATACATACATATATATAACAGATATAAGATACACTATCACGATATTAAATGAACAAAGACCACGCATCATATGTAACAATTAGAAATATGCACATATGTAGTTATGTTATTTTTTTTGTTATATTATAATTTTTTATAATCGAAAAATTCACCGTACTTTCAACCAAGAACCGGAGAAACAAAGATAAATGCTTCTCTATAAATGGAAAACCTAGATAAGTAAAAAGTTGTCCCGCACATTATTGTTTATTTATACATGTAAATCTTTTTTACATAAGATATATACGGTGACATATCTACATATAAATATGCGGGGCACATACCCCGTTCAATCAATAATTTTTTTTTTAATTTTCTATATAAAATTTTGAATAAAAATATAAAATGTTCTCATAAAATTAATTTTGTTGAAAATTAAAATAAATTTGCCTCCAATAATATATTGCTCTAGGTCCGACAATATATATAACTTTTTTTTATCGATAAATTAAAATATTGATATTATTCTATAAATTTTCATATAGTATATCAATCGGAAGCAGAAATTGACTTATTTCAAACTCAAAAGCTGCCATTTTTTTTTCTAATTACTCTTAATATATGTCAATAAAATTGTTGGGATTTCCGCTCGATCGGATGGTGTGACATTTGCAATAATCTGTACAAAAACATATAATTTGGGAAAATAATGATTGTTAAAAGATAATATAATTTAAAAAAAAAATGAAATGATATCACTAATTCATTACAAGCATGCGACGTTGTGTATAAAGAAATTCACATTTGTTCCCTCCAATGTGTGATATTCCCGACATGAAATGAACATTAATACTCATTCGATTATATACGAGTGGGAGAAAAGGACCCTAATGATGTGTTGGAATATGGAGTTTCCACTCCATATGAAATTATAATCCATCAATTTTATCAGCGTGTAATGACAACTAAGCGTGCATGCCCTAATATTGGGTCATATATATATATATATATATATATATATATATATATATATATATATATAATGG